AGATCACAGGCCACATCTCCAGGTCCGGCATGATCAATTGGTTCAGTGGAGGGTCTTTTCTTCTTCAGTTCCTCCACTAACTCTGCCAACATGGTGTTTTTCACCAGGACAGGTCTCATTTGGAAGGTCTGTCTGCACTGAGGACAGCTGTAGATTTCCTCCTCTTCCTCTATGTACCAGTGGCTGGTAATACATTCTCTGCAGTAGTTGTGTCCACAGGGAATAGTCACTGGATACTTCAGTAGATCCAAACAGAGGGAACAGCAGAATTTTTCCCGGTCGAGCTCAAGTCCTTGCTGCGCCATTTCACCTCTCACTGAGCGTGAATAAGATAGAAACTGAATATTAAACTGACAGCCAAGAGATAAAAGGGAGTGGTTTCCTAGTATAGTAGCTTCATTCCAGAAAGAGGAGTGGTTTGGGCAGGTTAGTCCATGTTCATAGGACCTCGTTTACTTTGTTTACTTGATGCTATGGTGACTTTGTTATGAAGCCAACGTCACTGATAGGCCAGAAGAGGATTACTAAATTTTGTCAGAGCGTTTCTATTGAAAGCGGTGCAGCTTTTCTAATCTTTATGGGACTGGTCACATGATGCTTTCACTGAGACTGGAGTCAGCCAGAGATCAAGTTTCTTTCACTTTGTTGCTGAATTTTTGGAGGTGTCTTGGTTTTATGCCTCTTGGTTGACTGAAGAACATCCCTTTGACCTCAGTTACTCAAGCGTGTCTCACAGTGTCTGTTGTTGTTGCGAGTAACAGTCTCTAGTGGGTTGTTGTCAGTGTTGTGTAATCCACAGTTAGACTGTAACTATACAGTATATTTGTGCTGTGTTGAAACATGCAGAATCTACCCAGACCACGGACTGCTGTGAACTTGTAGCTTCATCTGCTGTGGTGTTTTTAGTATTTGTTTAGCTCTGTTCGTATCAAATACAAAATTCAAACAGAAATCATGCAAATGTTCTCCAATTACAGCTCTTCACTGTTTCCATCTTCTACAATGTTGCTTCTGTGATGCCTTTCCTATATTCCTAGATACCTATCAACACTAAGGCTTCACTCAACTGGGATTTAGGGGAAAAGTGGTAAAAGTTATAGCCTACTGTCATATTAGTTTGACATTTTCTGCATCAGATTCGATAGTTTGCTGAAAGAACACTCAAAGAATACTTTAAATACTCTTAGAAATGACTTTATTGAGTGACTTTGTTCGTACTGTATATAAATCCTGGTAAAGGTCTCTGGCTCAATCTCCATATTAATTTCATCACACAGTTCACAATGTCTGTTAAACCGGTGAGTCAGCACTCAAGAGGAAAATGATTTAGATTGCTACTCCATTTAAGGCTGTTTGATGGAAAAGAAAGACCGAACAATATCATAGCAACGATACAAATAATATCATATCAGTTTTAGGCAACATACAGCACATTTGCATATATTTGCATGAGGATGAATGCTTATTTGTGTTCTGTCTCGGNCTTGTGGCCTAAAAACTATTGTGGACTGTAACATTTACTAAGTGCTGCACTGCCTAATACTGAGGGAAATATACTTAAATATACTTTAAACTCCACTGCACTTATTTGTCAGATACTGTTACTGTGCAGGCTGAGAATTTAAGGATCTGCACTTATAAAATATGGGGCAAGATGGCAACACTGTCATTATGTGCAGCTAATAGGCACAGAAAGGGCTCTTCTCAGCACCTGTATAACTAAGTCATACTGACTCCGCCTTTACCACATGGACCCCATTATACAGATTTTTTTTTTAACTTTTTCCAGTGTCACCTTATGAGTGAATCCAGGACACACTTCAGGCAGGAAAATTAGAATTTCCTTTATTTACATGTACCAGCATCACAGCAGGTAATCCTATCTTAGATCTCAGACGGGCCCATTGTCAATGAGAGTTTATTTATACATAGGAAAATCCAGCTCGAGCTGGTCACAAGCTCAACCAGTTTGACCAAACTGTCTATCTGACTGTCTCCTGATGAACCTATCTGTGCTTTTGTATTTCTTAGGAACACCTGTACCTTTTTTAGCCCTCAAAAAAGTACACAGTTACCTTAAGGTTCAATGATTGGCCCTCGGGGGAAACATTGGTGTTGATTGTACCTTGACAGAAATGAACTCCTACTGTACCCTTATTTCTGGCATTGTGTGTGGGGTCACTGTAGGCAAGCCCCAATGTGGGCTGCCCATTTATTATTCTAAACAATTAAATATGGAAATGAGACGAGGAATGGAAATCTGTGAAGCAAAATATTTTATCTAATGGTGTACTTTATATTATTAAAGACTGGACAGGAAGGAGAAGAGAGTGGGAAAGAAAGATCGAGGGAGTAAAAACTGAAGCGAGGGGAGTGAGAAATTAAGTGGAAATGTAAAGAAGGAAATGAGGAAATATAAGGAAGACAAGTGAAGGAAAGAAAAGAAGAAAGACAGGAGGAAAAGAAAAAGTTAGGTCTTATCAGTTAAGTCAATTTCTAACTGTTAATAGTACTAAGAGTGACCCAATTTTGTCACTTGGCCTTCATCATAGTTTATGACAGTACAATAGTTGATCAAAATACATGAAACCAGAACACTAAGTTCCAGTATACTGTGACATTAAAAGTTAATAGTCTTTCAGATCTTTACTATATTGAATCCTCTGCTGAAATACGTAGCCTGGGACTACACCCAGAGACTAAGAGGAAACGTGCATTAACTTCATTTCATTCGCTTAAATTTATGGAAAACAAATCAACTTTATTGATTGACTGAGTTCACATGTTACAACAGATGCACTATTTCACACAGTCAGCCTGTTGCTACCTGATTATCGAAAATAACGATTTTTACTGCACTCAAACACATTTATAAAATGACAGGAATAAAACAAACATATCACATATTTATACGCTATATTCTATATTGAGGGTCATACAGGTTTACATAATTCCAAAATATTACAACATTAATACAAATATACAATGAACAGGAGAACTACTGAAGAATATTTTTTTTCATTCCATTTACAATCACTTTATACACACAAACAGCATGTTACACACGTATGTCAGCACTGTGGAAAATCATCCATTGTCCTACTGATGAATCATAAATAATGATTAAAACATAACCCACTAACAAAGCAACTGGTAGAAAATACATTATTCAGCTGTGATTAAAAATGAAACTTAACTCAGGCTGGAGAATTGAAACAGACAGAGGAGGAAATGTTACAGCAATTCGGAGAACTCCAGTGTATAGACCACAGAGAGGGTTACATTTTCATATATTATATTATTATATTATAATCGATATTTGTCGATTCAGGTTTCATCACTAAATGCGTAACAGTCAATCAAACGTAATCAATCTCATTTGTGAAATCTTCTTTTCTATTTGCTGTTCTAAACAACTGTTGTTTGCTGGGGAAATCAACTGTAATTCATCTACTTGACTTCACAAAACTCTGCAGTGGATCCAAAATAACAAATACCGAGTCCAACATGGAGCGGTTGAGTGAATGTGGTCTGGACTTTGTGGAGGAGAGTGATAGTTTCAGATACTTCATAGAAAGACAGAATACCTGCCCTGTGATCCATGAACACTCCTATTGTGGAGGACGGACGGCCTGCAAAGTTGACTTTGTTGCCTTTATGTTTGAAAGTGTTGTTGCCATTGGAGGAACACTCTAATACCCAAGACTTGTCATCGTTTCCAAACAGACTTTCTGTTCCTGTTCTGGCAATATCCTTGTATGCGACTGCTATTGAAACTCCCAGTCCACTCCACTGTACTTCCCAGTAACAACGTCCAGTTAGATGTTGTCTACTCAGAACCTGAGACTTGTGCGTGAATCTTTCTGGGTGTTGACCATATGACTGTGCAGTTTTCACTGAGATTGCTTTTCTCTTATCTTCTGATAATAGCAGTTGTGTGTTTGCCGTGTTTGGATCCAGCATGAGCTGATTCTTGTGAACTGCATATTGTGAAAATTCAGCTCTGGTCTTTGGGTTTTGCGGCAGTAAAACATCCACTTCCGTTACTGTCAGTGAGATCCTCTTCCATTCCCCAGTGTAGTTTCTCAGCAGTTTATCTCTGGCCTCTGACACAGCTGTTGTCACATTCTCAAAATACTGCAGAGGTTGAGGATTAAAGGTAGGTAAGACAGGAAGTTTATTGAGAGGTGACAACGAGACGTACGTGTGCAGAAAGTGGATTTGATCCTGTGTGTGTGTGAGCTTTCCCAGCTCAGTGTCTTTCCTCTTCAGCTCAACAAGCTCCTGCTTCAGCTTCGCCTGAAGCTCTTTGGCCCGACTGACTTCAATATCCTGCTGGGATCTGATCTTACTCTTGACAGCAGAGCTTTCTCTCATGATGATATTGACCAGCTCAGTGGACAAATTTTCATTTTTTATCACTGCTTTATCCGCAGAGCGATTTATATGTTCCACCTCCTGCTGAAGCATCTTCACATGATTCTCTTGGGCCTGGATTCTTCTTTGGATTTCTTGCCGACTCGGGCCGAGCTCTCTCTGCTTCTTTGTCATTTCTGCTGCAGCAGAGACGATGTTGTGGCCTTTATGCTCACTCATGGCGCAGAGATAACAGATACACTGCTGATCAGTGCGGCAGAAAATCTTCATTACCTCACTGTGACGAGAGCAGGTATTCTCCTGGAGCTTTGCAGAAGCTTCAATTAGCTTGTGTTTTTTTAATGGAACCACTTTATAGTGAGGTTCGAGGTGCTGCTCACAGTAAGAGACCAGACACTGCAGACAGGACTTGCTGGCTTTCCGTTTTCTCCCAGTGCACAGATCACAGGCCACATCTCCAGGTCCGGCATGATCAATTGGTTCAGTGGAGGGTCTTTTCTTCTTCAGTTCCTCCACTAACTCTGCCAACATGGTGTTTTTCACCAGGACAGGTCTCATTTGGAAGGTCTGTCTGCACTGAGGACAGCTGTAGATTTCCTCCTCTTCCTCTATGTACCAGTGGCTGGTAATACATTCTCTGCAGTAGTTGTGTCCACAGGGAATAGTCACTGGATACTTCAGTAGATCCAAACAGAGGGAACAGCAGAATTTTTCCCGGTCGAGCTCAAGTCCTTGCTGCGCCATTTCACCTCTCACTGAGCGTGAATAAGATAGAAACTGAATATTAAACTGACAGCCAAGAGATAAAAGGGAGTGGTTTCCTAGTATAGTAGCTTCATTCCAGAAAGAGGAGTGGTTTGGGCAGGTTAGTCCATGTTCATAGGACCTCGTTTACTTTGTTTACTTGATGCTATGGTGACTTTGTTATGAAGCCAACGTCACTGATAGGCCAGAAGAGGATTACTAAATTTTGTCAGAGCGTTTCTATTGAAAGCGGTGCAGCTTTTCTAATCTTTATGGGACTGGTCACATGATGCTTTCACTGAGACTGGAGTCAGCCAGAGATCAAGTTTCTTTCACTTTGTTGCTGAATTTTTGGAGGTGTCTTGGTTTTATGCCTCTTGGTTGACTGAAGAACATCCCTTTGACCTCAGTTACTCAAGCGTGTCTCACAGTGTCTGTTGTTGTTGCGAGTAACAGTCTCTAGTGGGTTGTTGTCAGTGTTGTGTAATCCACAGTTAGACTGTAACTATACAGTATATTTGTGCTGTGTTGAAACATGCAGAATCTACCCAGACCACGGACTGCTGTGAACTTGTAGCTTCATCTGCTGTGGTGTTTTTAGTATTTGTTTAGCTCTGTTCGTATCAAATACAAAATTCAAACAGAAATCATGCAAATGTTCTCCAATTACAGCTCTTCACTGTTTCCATCTTCTACAATGTTGCTTCTGTGATGCCTTTCCTATATTCCTAGATACCTATCAACACTAAGGCTTCACTCAACTGGGATTTAGGGGAAAAGTGGTAAAAGTTATAGCCTACTGTCATATTAGTTTGACATTTTCTGCATCAGATTCGATAGTTTGCTGAAAGAACACTCAAAGAATACTTTAAATACTCTTAGAAATGACTTTATTGAGTGACTTTGTTCGTACTGTATATAAATCCTGGTAAAGGTCTCTGGCTCAATCTCCATATTAATTTCATCACACAGTTCACAATGTCTGTTAAACCGGTGAGTCAGCACTCAAGAGGAAAATGATTTAGATTGCTACTCCATTTAAGGCTGTTTGATGGAAAAGAAAGACCGAACAATATCATAGCAACGATACAAATAATATCATATCAGTTTTAGGCAACATACAGCACATTTGCATATATTTGCATGAGGATGAATGCTTATTTGTGTTCTGTCTCGGCCGTGTAATGGAAAAGAAAGAGTGATACACAACATACAGCAGAATACATTTATATAGGAATAAATGTTTATTTCTATCATCAACTGCTCTGTCACTGTGATGTGAAATGTCATCTGTTTCCTGGGGGAAATACATTTCAGTAGCATGTGTCTAGTAGAGCTCACACAGCTCAGCTGTGGATCCAAAATAATCAACCCCAAGTCCAGCGTAGAGAGGCTGAGTGAATGTGGTCTGGACTCTGTGCAGGAGAGTCATGGTTTCAGAGACGCTGTAGAAGGACAGAACACCTGCTCTGTGATCCAGGTACACTCCTACTCTGGAGGACTGAGGGCCTGAGAC